CGCATGCGATTCTTCTGCCCAGTGCAGCGCTTCGTGGCCCCAGAGGGAGCTCCACGGAAGACGATACCCACAATTGCGGTACTCACAATTGCATATGGTTCGGTTGTTCGCCAGGCTAATGTTATGTGTTTCGGGGTACTCGATGTTGAAACCCATACGACACCCACGGTTTTGGATGTGTCGGCATGCGCGCGTGACGATACGCGCGTGTGCATGTCGTCCTGTTTTTTTTGCAATGGATTTTTGCAAGTGGCTAGTTTTTGATACACGCGTGCGGTCGCATCGTATTTCGTTGCAGAAGACGGATGGTGGGCAGGGTCGTACCTGGCCTGGCTGGGGTGGAATGCGTCATCTATAAAATGAACGACGGGGCGGGATATGTTAATTACAATATCCCCAGAGAGGTCGATTCTCCCAGCCCCAAGGGGGTGTTTATTATGTTTCCCTTTTCGAGGGGAGTATGTGTGTATGCATGCATATATGCATGTGTATGTATGGGTATAGGTGTATGCATGTATGTATGTATATATATATATGTACATATGCACGTACGTATGTATGTATGTTTTATGTATGTATGTATGTATGTATGTATGTATGTGTGTATGTATGTATGTATGTATGTATGTATGTATATGTATGTATATGTGTATGTATGCATGCATGCATGTATGTATATATGTATGTATGTATGTATGTATGTATGTAGGTATGTATGTATGTATGAATGTATGTATGCATGTATGTATATATGTACGTACGTATGTATGTATGTATGCATGTGTGTATGTTTGTGTATATACATATATACATATTGATGCGTGTCTATGTATGTATGTAAATATGTATGTATGTATGTATGTATATATATATGTATAGTGTAAGCCCGTGTGGTGCAATGGACGTGATGCAACCCGTGTGGTGCAATCTAAATTGCGCAATCTATGCGGTACATTCTGTGCGGTGCAATCGTCGTGTTACAATATATGCGGTGCAATTCACCCTGCCGAACTCCAAGTTGTCAACTCCACTGCTCGCTCAATCTTCCCACCCACCCACCCGCAACTTGGTTTGCACAACTTATGCGGAGGCGATTGCGATGAGTGCTTGGTATTGGTTGGTGCATCTTTGCGGCCGCGCTAGCCCGCGCATGCTCGCGCGCGCGGCGGCCAATTAGTTTGGCGCGACCAACGCGAACGCGAACGCGGTATCATGGCAAGGTCGTCAACGGTAGACACGATGATTGTAGTAGCGATGCTGTCGACGATGTTGACAACGAGGATTGCACGACCAGTAACGGCGCCGATGCTGATCATGCCGACGACGATGACGGCGTCCTCGCGTCGGTGATGCAGGTTCTGGAAGGGATTCGACATGCGCGCGCGGCCGACACGCGAGAGTGGCCCGCATGGTATTATTTGACACGGGTCGTGAAACCAGCACGCGCGCAAGGGCTTACGAATGATTTCGGCATGAGGCGCGAGAGACCCATTTGGCAGATTTGTATGACAATGTTAGAAAGTCTTTGGTTTTCCTAAAAGTTCGCAAGAGTGCGAGCGCAGGCCTTTTCGATTGAAAACTGATTTATTTATTTATTTTATATATATATATATGTATATAAATAAAAGCCTTCGCGATGCTCGATTTTGAATTCCGTACGACGCCCAATTTTTTTTGGACGGATGTGTTAAATCTTTGCAAATGATGCGCGCATTTTTTGTTGCAGAGGATGGCGGGGGGGATCGATACAGGCTCGGCTGGGATGACACGAGTTCCTATTTAGGATGGACGGTCGGGGCACACACATGTGTAAGCTGCAATACGAAATTCGGAACGGATAATCCCAGGGGGGGGGTAGTCGAACATATTTTTGAGAAAGGGGAATCTAAGTGGGTTGTCAACTCCACAGCTCGCGCATTCACCAAACCCACACACCCGCAACTTGGTTTGCAAAACCAATGCGGCGGTGATTGCGATGCGTGCTTGGTGTTGACTGGTGCATTTTTGCGGCCGCGCTAGCTCGCGCATGATCGCGCGGGCAGCGTCCAGGTAGTTTGGCGCGACCGACGCGGCCGCGGTGGAGCTGAACGTTGGGCATTTCCCAGCGGGCAGATCAGTGCGAATCGGCGACTCGGGCGGGCACGGTATTGTGGCAACCTCGACGAAGGTAGACACCATGATGGTATTAGCGATGGTGGTGAAGATGATGACAATGACGACGGCGAGACGAATGACAGCGCCGATGCTGATCGCGCCGAATCCGGCGTCCGTGCGCCGCTGATGAAGGCTTTGGAAGGAGTTTGACATGCGCGCGCGGCCAGCGGGCGCTACTGGCCCGCATGGTATTATTGAACAGGGACCGTACCCTTCCGGTACGCGCGCAAAGGCGTTCGAATGATTTCGACACGCGGCGCGAAACCCCGTTTGGCCGACTTTAGATGGACATGTTGGACACTGTTTCAAGAGCTCGCCAAAGCGCGATTGCAGTTTTGTGTTTTGAAAACTTGTGTTGCAAGACCATGTTTTTTGATTCTTTCCGGGGTGCTCGATTTTGAAATCTTTTCGGAACCTGTGTGTTTTTTTTCTTCCGTCTTTATTATTCTTTTTGTTCCTCTTCAAAAAAACCGAAATTCGGCATGCGCGCGTGACGCGCGCATTTTGTCTCGTCTTTTTGCAATGGATTCTTGCGACAGCACGTGCGCATATGCTTTCGAACGGTTTCGACTTTCGTGCGCGAGAGGCACGTTTGATAGTATTTCACGGACGTGTTGAATAAACACATGATTTTCTTGACAGCTCGCAGTAGCGCGAAGGCAATGCTTTCAAACCAGATGTTGCAAAACCATGTTTTTTCGTTGTTTTCGTGGCGCTTGATTTCCGATCCCGTAAGCCCGGTAAGGGTTTTGAAGGATTCCGGCGTGTGCGCGCGACGACGCGCGCGTGTGCTCATCGTCCCATTTTTTGCAAGGAACAGTTGAACACTGATGGTTGTTGATGAACGAGTGTGCGCGCATAGTTTTTAGTAAACGATGATGGGGGGCGAAAAAGGGCTTGTCTGGGTTGGTCTGAGTTCATATTTCGGATGGGTGATGGGGCAGAATCGTAAAGTCTGGGGACGGTGGGGGTATAGCCCAACACTCTTGCAGAAAATAAAGTCCATGTTGTGCAACATATGTGGTGGGATCTTTGTTGTACACTCTCGGCTGCGACGAGGTGGCGACGGGCGGCGATTGGACGGCGACGGCGGCCACATAGACCCAAACCATGGGCATTGACGGGCCGGCGACGGCGGCCACATAGCCGCCACACGGACGCACATTCCTGATTCCAGAAGCAAGAACCCCCAAATTCAGTACCCGTTAGAGGAAGAAGACGAATGTGCGCGGCGCTATTGCGAAAACCACATTTTGAAAACCATCCGCGCTCGTTCCGTGAGCCTGCTGCACATTTCAAATTACACGGCCATGCATGGTGAGGACCCCTCCCGGTTCGCCCTACCAATGCGCGTGGGGGTGCGACAGGCAGGAGTTATTTAAATGGAAATCGGATGGAGCAGGAGGAGGAGGAGGAGGAGAAGGAGGAGGGCGAGAAGGAGAGGGAGGAGAAGGAGGAGGAGGAGGAAAAGGAAAAGGAGGAACATAAGGAGGAGAAGGAGGCGACAACGGCGACGGCGACGGCGGCGGAGGCGACGACACTTCTTCATGAACATCGGGCGCTCGCTTGCGCGCCCACCTTCGAGACCGCTTGCTCAGGGCCTGGCAAGACCAGCGGTGAGAGCCAGTGGCCTCCTCCTCTCCTGCTCCCCTCTCCTTCTGTGGGGGCGGGGATGACAGGGGAGCGACCGGGGATGGAGGGCAGGGGAGGGTAGGGGGCTGGCCAGGATGAGATGAGAGAGGCAAGGTAGGTGCGCTCGCACCATATCTGACATCCGACCTTTCCCACCCATTCCCTTCCCACTGCGCCGACTTTTCTGCATCAGCCGACAGGTGTCATAACCGACCTGGACCCCCCCACCTGACCCCATCGATTTATGCGCACGCAGAAAGTTGGATGAGGTGGAGGAGGAGGTGGCGGATGAGCAGGAGGATGAGGAAGGAGGAGCAGGAGGAGCAGGAGGAGCAGGAGGAGCAGGAGGAGAAGGATGAGGAGGAGGAACAACCGCAACAGCAGGAGCAGGAGCAGAAGGAGCGAGAGGAGCTGGAAGACCAGGGGGGGAAAGGGGAGCGACAACGACGAGGAAAGACTCCGATCCAGAATGCAGGCCCGCGCTGTGCCGAGAGCGCCAGTCTGAACGACGCGAGGAAAGCGCACAACGCTGCACTGGGAGCAGGATTTCGAACATCCGAACACATTCCAGTTGAAGCAACCTTGCGAGCAGACCTCCAGTTGAAGCCTTGCGCGTTAAGAACAGCATGTGGGAGGAAAGCTGCCCCGCTCGGGCTGGGTCGGGCTGGATCGGAAGGCTGCCGCCGAGAGTAGTATTCATATTGATTCGGTGCTGAGGAGTTGAGGAGCAGCACGAGGGGAGGGGGACTGAGCGCCAGAGCGGGCGGGATAGTACACCTTAGGCGATGCTTAAGAAAACCTAAGTTTTCGTCCAGAGTCTCGATTATTCTTAATGTTTCAATGTACATCCTAAGATTTGAATGGACATTCTGGGTTTTTATTTGAATTCTGAGACTATGAATTTCTTAACCCATGATTTCTTAAGCATTTCGCAGGGTGTAGAGTGGGGGTGGGTGGGACAGGGGGGGGAGGGGTAAGGCCGAGAGGGAGGAGCGGGCGGAGGATCGGGCAGTGCAGCCCCAGCGATCCGACGCTCTGCTCTTTTTCAGGGCGGGCCCCCTCCGCAAAAGTCCGATCTTTGGTCCCCGGGGGCCGGTTTTCGGACGGTCCCGGGCCTGGTGGGGGGCCCCCCGAAGTCCAAACTCTGGGAGGCCTTGGGGCCTCCCGGGGGCCGAACGCTGAAGGGCCCGGAGGGGGGGGGGGCTGCCTGGCAGGCGAGCGCCCCAGCGTGCGGGCGCTCAACGCCGCGATCAGCGCCTGCGAGCGGGGCACACGCTGGGCGCGGGCGCTGCTCTTGTTGCTCCAGGAAGAGGGGTGGGGAGGAGGAGGATGGGGGGGAGGGGGCAGAAGGAGGAGCAGGAGGAGGTGGAGGAGCAGGAGGAGGAGGAGGAGGAGGAGGAGGAGGAGGAGGAGGAGGATGACAATGGATAAGGAGGAGGAGGAGGAGGAGGAGGAGGAGGAGGAGGAGGTGAACGAGGGAGGAAGAACAGGAGGAGGAGGAGCAGGATGCTGATGGTGATGATGATGCAGATGATGATGATGCTGATGACGATGACGATGACGATGATGATGATGATGATGATGATGATGATGATAATGATGATGCTGATGCTGATAATGATTATGATGGTGACGATGACGATGATGAGGATGCTGATGATGATGCTGATGTTGTTATTGATGATGATGAGGACGATGTTGATGATGATTAGGATGATGATGTTCATAATGGTGACGATGATGGTTATTATGACGATGATGGTGCCATCGACGACACTTTTGATTACCACGATGATGATTTGCTGACGACTGCGATGACGATGCTAAGGATGATGATGGTGATGATGGTGATGATGGTGATGATGGTGATAATGATGATGGTGATGATGATGATGATGATGATGATGATGACGGCGATGATGATACTTATGATGAGGATGACGACGACGATAATGAGGACGATGACAATGGCGACGAGGAGGATTATGATGGTGGTGCTGACGATGACGGATATGATGATTGAGATCATGCTGCAGATGATAATGATGATGATGATGATGATGATGATGATGATGATGATGAGGATGCTGCTGATGATGATGATGATGATGATGGTGCTGATGATGAGAGTGATGGTGATGATGATCATTGTTCGGATGATAGTGACGATGATGATGATGATGATGATGATGATGATGATGATGATCGTAATGTTGGTGATGTTGATGGTCATGACGACGATTACTGACCTGATGCTGATTATGATGATTATCATGCTGATTGTCCAGATGATGAGGATGCGTATGATGAGGATCATGCTGATCATCGTGTGAGATGATGATAATGTGATGATGATGACGATGCTGATCATGATGATGATGATGATGATGATGATGATGATGATGATGATGATGGTGATGCTGCTGCTGATGATGATGGTGGTGGTGATAATGACGATGAGGATGATGATGATGATGATGATGATGATGATGATGATGATGATGGGGTGGTGGTGGCGGTGGTGGTGATGGCGGTGATGATGATGATGATGATGATGATGACGATGACGATGATGATGATGATGATTATGATGATGACGATAGAGGGTGATGGTGATGATGGAGATGATGACGATGTTACGTATGATGATGACGATGGTAACGACGATGTTGTTGATGAGGATGATGATGATGACGGCGACGATGATGTCACTTATGATGAGGATGACGACTGCGATAACGACCACGGTGACAATGGCGACAAGGAGGATTGTGATGGTGGTGCTGACGATTACGGATATGATGATTGAGATGTTGCTGCTGATGATAATGATGATGATGATGATGGTGCTGATGATGTTAGTGATGATGTTGTTGTTGATGATGATGATGATGATGATGTTCTGGTTGATAGCGACGATGTTAGTGATGCTTAGCGTAATGTTGGGCATGTTGATGATCAAGACGACGATTACTGACCTAATGATGATGATAATCATCATGATGATTGTCCTGATGATGAGGATGCGTATGATGAGGATCATGCTGCTGATCGTGCGTGATGATGGTAATGGTGATGATGATGATGATGGTGATGCTGGTGTTAGTGATGACGGTGATGATGATCATGATGCTGATGATGATGATTATTAGTATTTTCATTATTATTAGCATTCTTCTTTTCATGTTCATCATTGTTATGATGATAACATCATGATTATATGATGATTATGATAATGATGATGGTGATGACGACGACGACGATGCTGATGAGGATGATGATGGTGATGATGATGACGGTTATGATGATAACGATGATGTTGACGACGATGATGATGAGGACGATGATAGAGATCGTGATGACAGGGATGTTGATCGTCAGTAAGACTATTACTGACCTGATGATGGTGAAGCTGATGATGATGACGACGATGATGATGTTGATAATGATAATCATTGTGATGATAATGACGGTGCTGATGATGCTGACGGCAATGATGATAATCATGATGATCATGGTGATGATTGTGCTGATGATGAGGATGCGGATGATGAGTATCATGCTGCTGACTGCGCGATGATGATGGTGATGATGATGATGATGGTGGTGGTGGCGGTGGAGGATGACGCTGATGCTGATGCTGATGCTGATGCTGCTGCTGTTGATGATGATGATGATGATGATGATGATGGTGATGATGATGATGATGATGATGATGATGATGATGATGATGATGATGATGATGAGGATGATGATGATGATGATGATGATGATGAGGATGATGGTCATGCTGCTGATGTTGTTGCTGGTGGTGGTGATGTTGCAGGAGATGATCACGATGATGATTGCGGAGCACACGATGTGTGGGGAGTAACAGCCAGTCGAGGGAGTCTTGATTAGTTTTGAGTCAGGGGGTGGATTTTGTTCGCCTCCCCAGGGCCCCGCAGCGGCCCTTGTCCGGGGGGCCCTTCAAAAGTTCCGCCAGACCTGCTGCCTGCGTCTGCCCCTCGCCTGGTGTCCGTGGCCATTGGGGCTCAAGACGCGATTCGTTGGCAGGCCCCCCCGTCTGCTGCTTCCCGTTAATCCTGCCCGCCCCGAAGCTCTGCCGGGGAGGGCCTCCTCAGGGAAAGCAAAGGTCCGGTCACGCACAGGTTTTTGTGTGTAGGGCCGTACGTGCCGTGAGCGCCTCCTACGTGCCCTGAGGGGTGGAACGGGATCCGTAGTCTTCCCCCCGTTGCGTTGGAGCGCCTGGGTGGCTCACCTGTGCACTGGGCGCGCTTATGAGGCGCGCTGCCGCCAAAACAGAAGATGATGTTTATTTTGAATGTTATTGTCATCATTGTGATGATGATGGTGGTTTCGATGATGATACGGATGATTATGATGATGGTGCTGATGCTGTTTCTGTTGAGGATGATGCTGCTGATGATTATGATGGTGATGATGATGATGATGATGATGGTGGTGGTGGTGGCGGTGGTGGTGTTTGTGTTGGTGGTGATAAGGATGATGGCGATAATGCTGCTGCTGCTGATGATGATGATGATGATGATGATGATGGTGCTGATGATGCTGCTGCTGCTGATGATGATGATGATGATGATGATGATGTCGGCGACTGCGACGACGATTGCGATGGCGCTCATGATGATAGTGACGATTATGATGATTGCGATGATTGCGATGAAGATGCTGATGATGATGCTGATGATGATGCTGATGATTATGATGGTGGTGATGATGATGATGGTGATGGTGATGATGATGCTAATGATGATCATGATGGTGGTGATGGTGGTGTTAATGACGATGACGATGATGATGGTGATGACGATGATGATGATGATGATGATGATGATGGTGGTGGTGGTGGAGGTGGTGATGATGACGATTGCTGCTGCTGCTGATGATGCTGTTGATGATGGTGATGGTGATGATGATGATGATGATGATGATGATGGCGATGACGATGATGATGACGATGATGAAGATGGTGGTGGTGGTAATGATGATGGTGGTGGTAGTGATGACGCTGCTGTTGATGACGATGATGATGATGATGCTGATGGTGACGACGATGATGATGATGATGATGATGATGATGACCATGATGATGATCATGATGGTGATGACGATGCTGATGATGATGCTGATGATGATGAAGATGATGGTGATGGTGATGATGCTGATGCTGATGCTGATGATGATGCTGATACTGCTATTGATGCTGATGATGATGCTGATGCTGATGCTGATGATGATGATGATGACGATGATGATGATGATTATGATGATGATGATGATGATGATGATGATGATGATGATGATGCGGATGATGATGATGCTGACAATGATGACAATGATGATGATGATGACGATGATGATGATGATGATGATGATGATGATGATGATGATGATGATGATGCTGATGCTGATGCTGATGATGATGATGATGATGATGATATGATGATGCTGATGATGATGATGATGATGATGATGATGATGATGATGAGATGATGGTGGTGGTGGTGGTTGGTGGTGATGATGATGATGATGATGATGATGATGATGGTGGTGGTGGTGGTGGTGGTGGTGGTTGTGGTGGTGGTGGTGGTGATGATGGTGATTGTGATGATGATGGTGATGGTGACAGTGATGGTGATGGTGAGGAAGATGATCAGGAGGAGGAGGAAGAGGAGGAGGAGGAGGAGGAGAAAAACGGAGAAGTGAGAAGGAGGATGAGGATGGTGGGCGGAGGGGGAGAAGGAGGATGAGGAGGAGCTTTCCCAACGGAATCACTTCGATGGCATGCCGCAGAAAGTGGATGACGATACTGGTGGTCCTCATCCCTCCTCCCGCCTCCTCCTCCCGCCTCCTCCTTGTCCTCTGCCTCCTCCTCTTACATCCTACCTCCTCGTCCTGCTCTCTGTCATCCCGTCCCCTCGTCTCTCTCCTCCCCCCTCGTCACTTTGTTTTTCCCTCTTCCTTGTTCATTTCCCTTTCCCTGGTGCAGCTGCTCATCACACTCCTCCCCCTCCTCTCCCCCCCTCCCTCTCCCCTCCCTCCCCCTCCCTCACGCTCTCTCCCTCCTGGCCCTCCTCCATTCTCCTTCCTACACCGCGCCCTCCCTCCTCCCTCCCCTCCTCCCTCCCTCCTGCCCTCCTCCCTCCCTCCACCAGCAACAGGCTGCGATTTTTCCTGCGCTCCGAGCAATGTGTGTCCCCCAATGGCAGTCCCTAGCCGTAGCTGCGACACACCAGAGGGACTGTCCAATGGCGGCCCGCTCGGAGACCTGGCAGTTTAGTCCGCGATCCTTCGGCCTGACCCTCCTCCCTCCGGGCCCTCTTTTCCCCTCCCCCTCCTCCTCCTCCTCCTCCTCCTCCTCCTCCTCCTCCTCCTCCTCCCTCCTCCCACTCCTCCTCCTCTACGCGCGAGGCGCGGGCGCTGCTCATCTTCGACCGCGCGGAGAGCGCCGCCGGGCCCTGCGCGCGCGACACGGCCCTCGCCCCCCGCCCGCGCCCTCTGTCTTTGCCCCTCCGGCCCCCTCCTCCGCCCCGCTCTCCCGCCCTGCTCCTCCTCGGGGGAGGGGGAGGAGGAGCAGGATGGGGAGAGGAGACGCACGTTTTTTGGCTTGGTTGTCTCTCTCTATGCGCTTTAGAGGAGGAGGAGGAGGAGGAGGAGGAGGAGGAGGAGGAGGAGGAGGAGGAGGAGGAGGAGGAGGAGGAGGTCGACGATGTCCTGCTTTCCCCCCTGCACAGGGGGTCTCTCGCTTATTCCCCAAGCAGAGTTTGGAACGAGGCAGAGTGGCGGTGGTGAGTTCGACGAGTGCCTCCCTGCACCCTGCGTTCGCCTGTGTACGAATCTGCGGCCACAGAGGGGAAATGATTACAGTCGACGGAGTACGCGTGCAAATATTGGAAAGTCATCCTTACTCCTCCTGCGTATCCTCTCCTCTTCCCGCCTCCCCCCTTTCCACTGGCTCAGCGCATCGCTATCCCACGTCGCCCTCGCCCCTCCCTCCTCCCTCCTCCGTCCTTCCTTTTCACACCTCCCTCCTCCATCTCTCCCTTCGCAAGTGCACACAGTAACACAGCATGGTCGCTACTCTCCTCTCTTCTCCCTTGCTGTTCAGTGCGGGCACGGCCTCTCCAGCGACCTCACACGCACTATGTCAAACATTGTTTGTTGTCATCGCTTCTGTTGCTTGCTGGTAGCTTATTCTCAGGAGGGGGAAAAACACACAGACACAATTAATCGTCGACTCCCAGGAAAATATGGAAAAATATGGGAATTGGGGGGGGGAAGACAAAAACCCAGGACATATGGGAAAATATGGGGAATCCTGTTATTTGTGTGTATTTATTTGTGTGTCCCAGGGCCCCTTTCATATTCGCGAACCATCAGAAAAGGTGCTCGCTCCCGCTGCAGCGCTGGTCGGATTCCAGGATCGGTGCCCTGCTTCCGCAGTTTAGGACGGTGCTCCCGCCCCAGCGCGGGCCACGCTTCTGGACCCAAGTTGTCCCGCTGCTTTCCCCTCGTCCGGATTCAGCAGCGCTCCGGGCAGTGCTCCGAGGCTGGTCGCTGGCTAACTCGGCTCGCTCTCCTTAGACCACCCTCCGAAGCGAACGCAGAGGTCCTCGGCTCATCCTGCCCCTCCTGCTCCCTCTCCTGCTCTCGCAGCTGCTCCCTCTCCCTCCTCTTGCCTCCACGGCCCTCCTCCTCCTCCTCCTCGGCAGCCCCTTCTGCTCCCTCGTCCTCCTCTTCCTCCAATGCCCCCCTTGCTGGTGGCGCCTCACGCGATGGAGTCCTTCCGGATCTCAAGGTCCTCGGGGACACCCCCAGTTGGAGGGTCGGCAATAGTTCGGCGCGGTGGTGAGGGAAGCTCCTTCTGCTTCCTCGTCCTCCTCTTCCTCCAAAGCCCCCCTTCCTGGCGGCGCCTCACGCGATGGAGTCCTTCCGGATCTCAAGGTCCCCGGGGGCACCCCCGGTTGGAGGCTCGGCAATCACTCGGCGCGGTGGTGAGGGATGCGTGCGAGCGGCAGGGGGGCAGGCACGGCGCGGTCGCACCCGGCTTGCCCCTCCTCCCTCCTCCCTCCTCCCTCCTCCTCCTCCTCCTCCTCCCTCCTCCTCCTCCTCCTCCTCCTCCTCCTCCTCCTCCTCCTCCTCCTCCTCCCTCCTCCTCCTCCTCCTCCTCCTCCTCCTCCTCCTCCTCCTCCTCCTCCTCCTCCTCCTCCTCCTCCTCTTTCTCCTCCTCCTCCTCCTCCTCCTCCTCCTCCTCCTCCTCCTCCCTCCTCCTTTCTTGACGCCCGAAACGGGTACGGAAAGAATGGGCACAATGCCCAACAACAAATGTTGTCCCAAGCCAACGGCGGCCGCTGTTGAGCAGGCGGCCTTCTGTCTGGAATGGACACAGGCCGCGGCGGCGCGGACAGCGAGTCCGGTTCAAAATGCACAGGAACTGCTGTTGAGCATTGTACCCGTTCCTTCCGTGCCCATCTCCTTCGTGCAGATCCTTCCTCCCTCCACCATTACTCAACAGCTGTCCTGCTCCCCTCTCTCTCCCCCGCGCGTCGTGGAGCGGAGCTGTGCTGCAGTGATCTTGGCAGTCGCCTCGCCATCGTCGGCCGTCACGAGGCAGCCAGGCGGAGGCTGCTCGGCCCTCGGCCCCGCCCGGATGTCACGCCGGCGGGCCCAGAGTCGGAGGTGGATAGACCTCCTACCCGGACGCGTCGATGAAGGACTTGGCCGTTCTCGGTTCGCGAGGGGGCGTCGCGGCCGTCATTTCTGCGGGTCCAGGTCCGTCGGCTTCGGTCCCAGGCCGCTGTCACTGAGGGGAGGTTTGCTACAGGGAGGTTGGTCCACCGCCGACTCAGAGGTGCTTCGACCACGCTCCGTCAGAGCGGCCTCGCCAGGTCGACCTCGGCCCCTTTGGAATGGCCGCCCGAGGTCGACTGTGATGAGGGCGACGGGGAGAAGGAGATGGTGAAAGTGGAGTGCCCGAACTCCAGCAACCTGACCCCACAAAGGTATGACATCAAACTCCAGCAACCTGACCCCTGAAGGTATGACCCCGAAAGTGGAGTAACCCCGAAAGTGGAGCAACCCCACGAAGGTATGACATCAAACTCCAGCAAGCGGACCCCTGAAGGTATGAAATCAAGCTCCAGCAAGAGGAGGCCGACGGGTCGATGGCGGGGCGGGAGTGTCGTCGTCGGCCGTCGTGGGAGGGGGGATGGTTCTGCGGCCAGCGGGTGGGGTCGGTGGCCGGTGGGGTGTTATCCTCCTCGGGCTGTGGAGGGGGCAGAAGGAGGAGGAGGAGGAGGAGGAGGAGGAGGACCCCCTCCACCTCCTACTTATGGCGGTGGTGGTGGTGGTGGAAAACAAGCCCACCGACCTCCTCGCGGCGCGGCCTGATCTCCTCGCGGTCCCGTGGAAGCGGGACCCGTCGCCAATCCGCAGGCTGTCAATCCGTGCTGGTGGGCCCTTCTCGGGCTGTGGAGGGGGCAGAAGCCACTCCTGTCTCGAGGCCCCAGTGTCGTCCCCCGCTGGGGCTCCCATGGGTTTCGTGTTCATTTGGCGCCACCCGCGGGTCCACCGGCCATCCTGGGAGCTCCTGGGGCAGACGTGCCCTCGTGTCAGACTGTCCGGGGTCCCGATCCCCTGGCCGCGAGAGGCAGTCGGCTTGGATGTTGCTCGGCAGGCACCCGTCCCATCAGGGATGCCCCCTCGGAGTGGCCCGCTCTCCGACGATTCCCGTATCTTCCTGGCCTCGAAGCTAGGCCTGGGAAAAGTGCCTGAATTTGGACCCGACCCTGCTGTTGAGCGGGTCGGCGTCGATCTCATCCGAGACCTCGCGCTATCCGGGTTCTCCTCTCGCGCCCAAGCTGAAGAGCGAGGGCAGCGGGTCCTTTGACAGGGGAAAGCGCGAGGA